TATTATACGTATATATAACTCGAGCTACCCGGAATCGCTTGTTGCCGCGAACGAACGCAGATTGCAATTCGGAAGTTTTGCCTTTTTATTTTATGCTAAATGTAGCTCCATTTCAATCTTGATATGCATAAACTCTGTATGACTCCTCTTTCCGTTGCATTAGAAATTATTTTTTACATTTATTATGTATACGTTTAAAACAATGTTATTATAGACAATACCTTTGCAGCAAAGTTGATATTCTTTCATGGATGATGTACATCGTGTATCTTTATATTTTCCAGATTTTTGGTACTCTTATTTATATTTTATTTAGGAATGCATCACCGATTAACATGTTGTTAGTATTTCTTGATATTTGGTACTGTAATTTACACGTTTTGCATCCTCAAGATATATAGGCACTGTAGCACACAACTGCATCTCCTATATAGCCAACTATAATTAACACGATCACTATCTATATATACCTGCATTAAATTGGAATATTGCACACACGGAATGTGTTAACGAGATATGTGTTAACCAATAGCACATTATACACAATTAGTACAAGGATAGCCTCGGGGTTTCATGTTAATAGTAATTAATGACTTAATGCACCGTTAGAGCATGAAGAAACGTACTCTTATCCTGATATTACTGATGTTTAAGTAGACTACTAATTTGTTGCGATTAAATGAAAGGAATATCTTCTCCGATTGGATAATGTGGCACTGCATGGCGAGACGCTAAAAAATATATTAAAAATTCTGTTTTAACTCGTTGTGAAAAATAAAAATATTTTTCGTCGTATGAAAGATGGAAATGTCGATTAAACGACTGAATACTGTTTTATTATAAAAATCATAAAGCGCGTAAATTTTAGACGCAATTTTTCAATTTAAATCATCAAACACAAGGACATTTATTTACCTTTATTTTTCATTTTTATTTCGAACAGAACTTTTCCGAGGCACAATTTCGGAAACATTGACCTATATAAAAAAAAAAAGAAAATTAATAAAAAAAATTACGAAACGCAGAGAAGCGCGGGAAACAACAGAATCGACGAAAAGTGTTGGTTGTACGCAGCTTTGTCGGAAAAATAATGGAAGCTTCAATTACCGAATGGATTGCCTCGAATTTCTATCGACAGGCGCTATTCTTCCATTTTACCATTTCTTTCTTTCCGGTCTCTTTGTTTTTTTTTTTTTCTGTTATTTCGGTATCTGTCTGTCAATTTTTCGAAACAAACTTGCGCACAATCCGTCATACGCGTGTTCGCGGAGCGAATCGCGAGCTTTTTGATATGAAATCCGTTCAAATGCACGAGTTTATTCGCATCTACGCGTTAGTGAAACCGAATATTTCTTCGTTCCCGTGGTCAGACCTGTGTATTTTAATAATTTAATTAATACTCGGTTATAAAGCTATAGAATCTCGTTTATCAAATTCGAACGCGTAAATTAATAATGCAATACAGAAGATCTCAAATAAATGTTTTAATATATAATTTCGTGTACATTTGAATTTAATTAGATATTTTTGTGTAACAATATGCATACCTTTATTCGATATCGAAATAGATTTTCGTACGAATCTAAACGGATTTTTCTTTGGCGAAATTGATCTGGCACTAACGATAAAGATACTCAAAAATTGCCGACATCGCAGCGATGACGCATCAAGTTGGTAAAATTCCCATCGAAAGATGAGATGCAGCTTCTCTATCAAACGGGGGGTTCTCAGCTTTCGTCGGCTTTACCTATCTCGACTACCTATCCCGCGAGCGGATTTCTTCAAGAATTCTCCCAACCCTCCGAGATCGTGCGCGCGCGCAACTGCGGTAATGATAAAGCGGATTCAGCCGCGACTTCGGAAGTACGGAGACAGAGAACGAGAGGGTGGAGCCAGCCTCGTTTTACGGTGCATTAAATTCTGACGAAGTGACTCGTTCTATATTGGGGGATTCGAATTATCCTGGAACAGATAAACAGACCGCCGACAGGAGGAGGAAACATCGGGACGCGAAAAAGGAGGAAAAACAGGGTAGCGACATTTCTAAGGAGGTTGTAGCGATGTTTCTTTTAGTCGCGATTGAAGGATCGAGGGAGAGAAGGATGGGACGAGGATTGGGAAGAGAGAAACAGTAAGAAAGTATAATATGATGGAAGTACTTTGGGATTTTCGAGGAGGGAAGATAAAATCTAGAGACGCATCAGTCGAGTGTGAAAAGCTCGACGGCTGTCTCGGAAGCTCTCCGCGAGTTTCTTCGTCTACTTTTTTTTTATTAGCTCCATAGAGGAGAAGCTGTCGTCGTATCGAGAGAAAAAGAGGAAGATTGCCGAGTTGTCTGTTTTTCCTCGCCAATAGTTTAACCGCTCGCAATAGTATCTCGATTCGATCGTGATTATTAGGATTTGTTTCGTCGTAATTACATCGCGATAATCGAGCGCGGTTCTGCGGAATCGAAAAGCTTCGAATATGATAAAAGCGAATTATTTATTTCGTCCAGAAAAGAAAAAAATGTACGCGCGTATTTGGCGCAATCTCAAAAATGTGATTATAAATTTTCATTTAAAAACATTTCGAAAAATCGTATCGAGAAACGCGTGAATATTGTCGAATGAAACTTTCATCTCCCGTTTTCAAAAAATTTCGTGTACATCGAAATTGCGACTCTGGCGCGACGTCACGCGCTCCAATCGCGGGATTGATTAACGGCGTAATTAACCGTATTTACCGTATATGCGCTTTTAACTATTCGCGCTCTGGGTGGTCGGGAAAAATCCGTGCGAACATCCGGGCGCTGCCGAAAAATCGACGGTACGGTGTAATCGACAGCGTAAACTACTGCTACAGAAGGGAGGGAATTGTTCGACGGTTAAACTAATTACTCCCTAACGTATTACACTTGATTCGCGTGTAGAGAGAGAGAGAGAGAGAAAGAGGATACGTTACGAGAATAATAAATTATACTACGGTTCGTCCTGCTTTTATCGCGCGAGGGATGAACTCGGTTACACGCTCCGGTCCGGCATCTCACGCGTTTCGCGATAATTAATTCCCCATTAAATGCAGAATGCGGTTGTTTACTTAACACATCGTCGTACAACGTGGGCAAGCCGACGCGCGGATGCTGCATTATTAGCTCGGCATCGTATCTCCGTGGAAGCTTTTCGATCATCTCGCTCACGAGTATCCAGTTATATCAATGAATAATAATGCGCTTGTGTTGTATATATATAGATAATATATTACAGGTTTCGTGTGCACTCAGTCGACACTCGGAATGCAAGGAAATGATAAAGTTCTTCGCGCGAGAGAAATGGGGAATAAATACAGCGTCCGACATCGCCTTTTAACGCGTCTCTCGCGTGCAATTCGGATCTCTAAAACTTTTCTTGGGCGCGAATCGTTTATCTCCGTATGACGGACGCAGCCGTTCCCTAATCGGCAAAAAAATTGCGGAACACGCCGCACCAATAAATCTGATTTCTATCGAAACTACTACCGGTTTTTCTCGCGATTTTGCTCGCGGGAGTCGAATGAGATTTATCGAAAGAAGCGCGCCTGTGTTTTTATCACGAGTTTGAATAAAAATTTCGCTATAAATACGAAATGACGATAAAGAGGGACTCTCGTTTCTTATATTGGCAAACGGTTAAATATAAGCGTGATAAAAGAGAAAGAAAATAGTCTGAAAAATTTACGCATCAATTATGTATTAAAATCCAGTAGCTAATAAATGACGCGATATTAGCGTAATAGCGCTGCACAACGAGATGCAACGATCGCGCGAGCGGTTGCGCATAACGTTATAATTTGAAATGATATAATTTCCGTTTTATGTTCAACGCGGCATGAAGATTAACGCCGGCGCGAAATTTGTTGCCTCCACAAGATTACTCATCGCACATTGAAGGGAGGCGCGCACGTACGTAAATTGCACCAGGTATACAGTCGCAGAATACATACACATGTCGAGATGTAATGTTCTTCGTGCGAATTAATCCAGCTAGCTATATATAATATATATATATAAGCGTCTGATGCGTAAACTGTTTTATCGCCGCGGTAACGTTTTGACATAGCACGCGCGTTAATTACTTTTGCTTTACGACTGGCGCGTAGAAACGAGAAAAAAAGGGAAATCCGGGAAGAGTCCGCGCAGTTCTGCGAATTACTCCCATCCGAAGGATCTTCAGGATGCAAATTACCCAAGATTTTTTTGTACTTATTTTCTGAGAGCTTTAATAACCAGTTCTGACCCGACGACATTTTGCGACGAAGCTTCTACACGTCTACAGAGAATTATATATTACATCTCAAGACATTTTGTTATTGTTATTTCCATCGTGTACTTTGTCCATTTATTTTTCACGACGAGTATTTGCCACACTATTCGAAGGTGTCTACACTGACAAGAAAAAAATGCTGTTGAATAAAAAAAAATGACTTTGATTAAATTAAACGTCGACGTTACGGGCTGCCACAAACATATGCAGTTAATTCAGTATAAACAAAAGCATGACGTCTTGATTTGATTAATAATGTCATTGAGTTAACAAAATAAAATTTAACTGCATCGATGTCGTTGATTCAACAGTATTTTTTTCTCAGTCTAGCCTACAAGTTTAGAAACTGGAATTTGATTTAAGAAAAAATTGCTTTTATACGAAATTATTTTTATTAATTTGAGAGAAGTGGCTCTTGAAATAAAATGGTGATGAAATTCATATTAATGAAACTCGTGAAATAATCTCGCTATTAGTGCCTAGCCATCCAATCGTCACGCTCGACGATTTGAGGATCTGGGAAGAGGATTGCAGAGATCTCGGTCAATGATTTCATAATTTCTTCCAAAGTCATTGATCTAAATAATTGATCCGCGAATAACACGGAAACCGTATTAGAATCGAGTTTGAAAATCTTCCAAGCCGATCCTCGCGTCGATCATCAAGTCCCTGGAACATTAACCCACCGTAATGGCTCCTCGAGCGTGTTTCTTTTGGCAGATCGCCTGCGTCGCATGGGAAGAGCTTCCCGCAACTACACCATCGGCTGGACCATAATGCATTGACGATGATCGCCACGACGATGGCAACGATGACGACGGCGACGAAGATGATAATGCGCCGGTGCAGCGCCGTAAAATATGGTCTGTACACATATACATTACACATACATACACGATACTATACCGCAGCGCAGGGTCGAATCCTTAGGTTCTCGGGAATCTTCTGTACGCTTCTGGATCCTCTGGATCTCGAAATCGTCGCGGACGATTTTTAGCTCGTTCGAAACGAAACGCTCGATCGCGGAGGTGAAGCTGTCGGAAGCTTCGCATGCGACAAAATTATACGCGTGAATTGTGTCTCGTCTTTGTTGCTCTAAAAAGAATTACATTTATATAAATATTATATTCCTGCACCAGAGCTGTGTCGTGCGAAAGATACTCTAATGACGATGTAATAAATTTAAACCGTCGTATGAATATGACACACACACACACACACACGGTACTGTTATTTTATATACATATATGACGAATATTGTCCTCTCTAATTGTTAATCATTGGAAATGATATGACATTTGCGGCGAAAGGAGCCGGAGTCATTTTTTTAACGTGATGCGCACCAAGATTCCCGTTCATCGCTTTAACGTGGCTACCTAACTGGATTATTTAAATATTTATACACGAAAGAGAAGTTCTCTTTTAATTAATTCGACCAAACATTTGCCCGAGCGTACCGCTGAGCGATCGGGTACAAACTATATTCTGTGTTCATCTCTTTTTTTCTTTTTTTTCTTTTTATCAAGAGAATGTCTTATTAATTCATATTCTATCTCTTTGCTCACTACTGCCTAATCGTTGTGGAACAATTCATGGTCTTTTATGCAAAATAAGCGAATAGCTACATTTAATTGGTTTTACTACGTCGCTATGTGATTGAAATGTATATATTTATACATAGAATGAATATCGAAACACTTATATGAAAAGATTATGAATTCTTCTTCAAAACATTAAAATAATTGAATCGATATGATTTTGACATCATTGATGTAGAATGATTATTTCTCTAATTATTTTCACATTGATTATTTCATCATTTAAGTAAGCAATTGTTAACCACGGTTTAATTAACTTTGTTCATCAATAATATGTACGAATGTCATGTCATTAAAATCAATTGAATTCGGAGCTGCAAAACACGCGCAAATTTTTCATTCAAAATAAATATGGAACGATACCACCGATACCCGATCGTTCCGCTCGGCATATAATAAAGTCTCACTATAATATTCTCTATAAGGTACTAACTCGTTGTTTAAATTAATTATTAATTTAGTATACTACATATATATATATATATATATATATATATATATATAATATATATATATATATATATATATATTTATTAATGTAATCTGTACATATTGTCTTCAATGTCGTTTCTAATCGATCAATGTGACCTACGTGTTATAACGAAAGAGGGAATGGATTATTAGCGCGTGAGAGAGGGTGGCATAATTGTCTCTCTCTGTGTGTGCATGCGCGTGCGGATGAGAGGGAGAAAAAGGGTTCGGGAGTGCGTGGGGTGAAGATAATTAACGCGGAAAAGTTTCACTAAGATAGATCACGCGTCGATTGATCATACACATCGCTGTATACTTTGAGCTTGTTGAATCCATGTGAGAATATACGCGGATCAAAAATATACTTTTGCGCTAAACACTCGTTCGCGAGTAGAAAAATGGATCGCGCGGATGTAAAATATTGTTAACTCGGTATATTGAAATTTTCGTAGTGTAAAAATGTTTGCAATCGAAAAAAATGCGCTTTTTAATAAATGACAGCGTGCAAAGTTTTTTTTTTGAGAAGCGTATGTAGTTGGATTTTGACGGAAGGAGAAGAGAAATATTCGATAACGAAAGAGTATTGTAATCAGATTTGTTCTCGCTCGCGGCCTTTCGAATGCATTCTTGATTGTTATAAACATATTCGCATATCTATTCACTCTGTTACACGCATCACACATTACGTATACACAACGTATCGAAACTCAAATGCACGCGCACGATCAAAGCCTTGCTGCTAAGCCTTATCTTGTAACACGAGGTTTGAATAAAAGCTGCTGAGAAAAGGACATCGTCTTGCATTTGGTTCATTCAACACTTCTCTGTGAATCCATTAAATCCATCAACGAATCGATGATAAAAAATTAATATCTTCCATAATAATAATCTTCAATTTTTATTCACGCAAAGGATTTAAAAGGACATCGAGTTCTTTAGTCGACAAACGAATTCGAGCTGTACGTTGCAGATGCGCAAGGAGCTTCGCTATATATTTTTATGTAAAATTGTGCGACGCAGCATAAACGAGAGAATGCTTTTCTTCCGATGTCGACGTGTATATACATACCATCGTAGATATTTACCTTTTATCCCGCTTGTGCGACATGCCGTGGACTTTTCAATAAACGTCTCTTCTGATCTGTGTCTTGTAGGTGTTCTTTATTCTTTGTAAAATCATACAGCAAAAGCGATCGGATCTACACAGTGTAGTGAAGCGAGATACAAGTGAAGTGAAGGTTCGCCGGACGAATGACGGTTTTTTAAAGGGGTTTGCTTTTTCCCATCGCTTTGCTCAATTCTTAACCCGAGAGGAGATTTTTTGACGTCAACAAAATCAACGAATGTTCTTTTTGTAATGTTATTAATTGAGAAAGTTAATTTAAAAATTCGATTTTATGGATATTAAATTTTGCGTTAGAATTTAACGTTTGCATAGAGTTTAGATACTTTTTATTTTGATGATCAAATCCATGAATTTTTGTTTCAATCTTTCATTTGATGTCTCATCTCGAGTAAGAATTGACGCGCCGCTTATCCGTCCGCAAACTCCGGAGATTACATACATTTCTTTCGTCTTTTTTCTTTCTTTGGAAATTGAATTGGCCCGAGAATAGCGCAAGATCCTTTCGTGAAAATCGCTAAAAGCGTCGCCTTTGCGCGAAGACAAGAAGCGCGCCTGACTTAGAAACTTAATAACTAATTCTGACGAAAAATACAAGTAATGCAAATATACGCATGTACCTAGATCCTATAATAAAAACTAGAAGTTTTTCTTGAGATTAATTATCCAAAATATATGTTACCTAAGATCTTATCGTCGGCTGGTGACGGTAGTGTGGCAATTAAATTGTCCAGCGATGTCAATTCATGATCGTGTGGTGAAACAAATGTCTTTTATACAAATAGCTCTGTGGTACATAAAATTTGATTTCCCCTACTATAGTATAGGTATATATATATATATATATACATATATTTATATTATATATTTTTATAATAGAGCTAATAAATAATAATAATCCTTAATAGTCAGTTGTAATTTCTGTGAAACCCGCCTATCCGGCGCTTAAAATACGAAATCGTTTACACGTTATGTTATTCGCTCTTCGCATTCGAAATTTTTAAAAACCACGATCTCTCTCTCCCTTTCTTCCCTCTCCCCTTATGTCACTTTACGTACTCTATATCCTTACATATTAATGATTTACCGTAATAGTGTGTGACGTGCTTAAGTTACTGGTTGCACTTACTGGTATCACCTGCCGCCAGAGCTGGGAGTCGCGCGCTCTCCCCGGCGTGGCCGTAACTTTAAAAAGCTTAAAAATCCCCTTACTTAGGCTAACGAACGTTAACGTCGCGGCGCGTGGCCCGGCACTTTGGCGCCGTTCCTAGACTACGCGCGTAAATGCAATCAGTAGCGTATCCTTGTTGCGTCCTTTCAATCGTCGGTTCCTCGGATTCTCGAGGCCTTCGAGGGAGACAGCCACGGAGAGATCCCAGGAACCTCGGATTGTCGAGCCCTTGGATACGAATGTGAAACATGTGACTCGTCGTGCGACAACGAGGACAGAGGGAACGTCTGTCTTCGTGAGAAACTTCGAAATGCGCGCGAGTGTGTATATGTGTGTGTGTGTGTGTGTGCGTGTGTGAATGTATGTGTGTTGTTGTACACAGGAAACCGTGCGAGACTTGTCGATGCTGGACGTACGCGATCATTTTCGCCAGTGTTCTCGCGAGATGGAAACAGAGTAGTAGAAGAGTAAGAATGGAGATAATCAAAATGTGGATTACGATCGTTACCGCGATGACTGTGTATATAGGAGCCGCAATGAACGTCGCGTCTGTCTTTTTAATATTAATTAACGCCTTGAAACAAAACAGTTTCTTCTCTACAGTTGGAATGCATATGAGGATGAGACTTTGATAGGATTTTGATCTTAATAAGCGCCGCCGAAACCTGAACACCCGTAGACCCGTATCGAAATCCACGATTCCTTCAATTACTTTACTTCTATCAAAGTTTTATATTCAAACTTTCTCTCGCAATTCTAAGATCCAGTCACAAACGATTGATTTTCAGGGATCTTCAGATATTCAGATCCAGCAAACGTTTCATACGATATCTGCTATTAACTTCTACGAGGATTGCGCGGCTAATTCTACTTTTTTTGTAATTAATATTTAGAATTAATAATTATTCGTAAGGTTAGCTAAGCTTAGCTGTATCTGTTCGCTATAGCTTCGTTTTGCGAATTCGAAATCATAATTGTACTTTCACGTAATTCCTTCTTTTTTTTCTCTCGTAAGATCGATCGATCGCCATCAACGGTGAATCGAGACGAGAAAAATCGAATCTTTGAAAGCGTTTTGGAAACGCGAGATTCCTTAATATAGCGACGTACATCATCGGTACGATTCTCTCTTTACATATAAAAACACACATAATATGCGTTTATATAAACTATAAACAAATATGACTCGTCTCTGACTTCGTCGGGGATGGCGAACGATCGTCCACTCGATAATTTATAACTCTTTTTTTTGCAACAATATTAGTAACATCACCGGCGGCGTGTGCGTCTTTTTTTTCGTTTGTTTCACGAGCGTGAAAATTTAAGTCTCGCGTGGCATTTAATCTCTCGTCTCCCGCGTACCGACTCAAACATCCCCTCTTCGATCTATGGCAGCCCCTAATCTCAGCTCTCTTACAGCTCTCGACTGCGTGGCTGCCGAACAAGCTGAACATTAAGACACATCTACACGGAGAAATAGAGTTTTGCTATTTTTTTTCTTTTTTTGTTCATCTAACGAGCAAACAGTGTTAATTAGAGTTTATGTATATTTTATATAGGTAATAATTGTAATAATAATAATAATAGTAATAATAATAATTCGTAATATCAATTCATCCCAACAACAAGTTTAAGTTATCATCTGATAGTGTATTTTGTTTTTTTTTCTCTCTTTCTCTTTCTCTCCCTTATCATTCTTTTTCCAGTTCGCTCTTCTTTAATCGATACTTTCTTCCTCATTAATATATATCTCTGTTTATTATATATATCTTTATTTATTTGCTTTATATATATGTATAGACTGATATCAACACGTATAACATCGACCTTTTTTTTATTTTTGTTAAATCAAGTTCTCGTGAAGAAGGTTGTGGCTGCTTCGATTACGCGCGCCCGCTAATTACAAATTCTCTTTTTATACGTGACTAACGCGAACAAGTCACCGGATCGTGTTGCGAAACTTAACGACCCCCGATCCAATCAGTCAATTGTCTTTCATTTAGGTTTCGGCGTTTTATCAGTTGAACATGAACTATCCTGCACTTCTTGCCGCTTTGTCTTTAAGGAGGTTTCGAAATTTCGAGGTTCAATCCTCCTTCGAGCTTCGAACGTGTTCCGTGCTGACTCGTTTCCCTTTCTTTTCTTTTCTTTTTCTCTTTAACCCCTTCACTGCGAAGAAAGCGTACGCTTGCAGTACGAAACTCTATTCGTGAAAGAATGTGAAATCGATTTTTTCTTAGCAAAGACGGAAACTAATTGGAAATTTCCGTTTGTTCTTTAATATCCTTCGATATTCAATTCTTTGGTAGATAATCTTGCACGGGAATATTCGCTAAGAAAATGTTCGATCAATTGACGAATAAAGCTTCGTCTCTTTCGTGTCTCTTTGAGTCCAGGATACATGAGGAATGTTTGAAAATTTAATAATCCAAGATCAATCATCCACGATTACAATATAACGTATACTCGATCGGGAAATATTTTTGTGTCATCAGAGATTAGTATGTCTGTCACGTCTGTGCGAAAAGTTTCGAAGGTATTCACTTATATTTTTCCTTCGCCGAAACTTTTGGCTAGAGAATATTTCGCGCAGCGAAAGGGTTCCCCGTCGATCCGAATATCATTTGATTTTCGTTTCTAAGTCTATACCAGTTTCTTCCTGGCCACGTCCAAGTTTTCTTTCGAGACGGGTTCTCGCTATTGCTTGCATGCATACAGCTAAGGTCTTAACGGTAAGTTCGCTATTTGACGGACAGGGTATGTGTGTGTATATGTATGTATGCATGTATGTGTATGTGTGTAATGCAATGAGCATGTCGAGGGAGCAGAAAGTTATATCAGGATATTGTTATTACGATGGAACGATAAAGCTTGTAGGACCGAAAGTAGATATGGTCACGGAATATCTTCCAGTTCTCGTAAAAAAAAAGAGAGAAAAAAAATAGGCGAATCAAACGAAATGAATAGGAACTCATTCTGTAGATGAATCGTCTTTGTAACGTCGGTAGGATTAATTGAACGATATCTCCCTTCGACTTTTTTCCGATTCATTGCCATTCTCCTCTCTTGGTTTTTCTAACTAGGGAATTAAATAATTTATTTTCTTAAATTGAAATACTCTCTCTCTCTCTCTCTCTCTCTCTCTCTCTCTCTCTAGAATATAGTTTCCTATTAATTTCTTTAAATTTACTCAACCCTAGAAAATACCATGGAGCATTTTTAATTACTATAAAGAACTTGCAAAAAAATCAAGCATCTCTCTTTTTCTGCCTTCGCGCATCCGTTATTCGAGAGATAGCTCATTTATTTATTTTTTTGTTAAATTCGTGTAATACCTTGACACGCCTATTTTTTCCAAGAATCGCTGTGCTTTTAAGGTAGAACACTCTACCGCTCCCTTCTGTCTCTCTTTGCTCCTTCGTTCTTTCTCGCTTTCTCTTTGATAATAATAATCGTACAAAAACTCGTCCGCAAGTGCGTGGCAGTATTCTCGGTAAGTAGACAATGTAAATACGATATGATACATAGCGGTATGCCGTGAACCCTTTAACGACGAAAGGGTCAAGAACACGATATCTCGAAGAGAGCGACGTTACTTAAACGGGGTGAGCATTTACCCCGAGATACGTCGGTGTCGATTCGATTTCGCCACCGAGGCCACCGCGGAATCGATACGGCGCAACGCCGTATATAATTAACAATTATAATTAATAATTTAATTAATAATTATAATTAATAATTATTTAAACCGACCGAGAAACCCGAAGAATTGGAAGCTTAGAATTCTGTGGGATCTACTAAGAGAGTCCGAGAATCCGATGATCCTGTCTGAGAAGAGAAGAATCTTTACGAAAATTTACAGACTTATTAAAAAATCCATCCTGAGATCCGACAAAATTCGACGATCCAAATCCTGAGGATCCAAGGATCGAAGAACATCCTGAAATATCCTGAAATTGGTTGGAGCTTCAAGACGAAAAGATCTGTTGTTCTGAAAGCTCGTATATAATTAACAATTATAATTAATATTTTAATTAATAATTATAATTAATAATTATTTAAACCGACCGAGAAACCCGAAGAATTGGAAGCTTAGAATTCTGTGGGATCTACTAAGAGAGTCCGAGAATCCGATGATCCTGTCTGAGAAGAGAAGAATCTTTACGAAAATTTACAGACTTATTAAAAAATCCATCCTGAGATCCGACAAAATTCGACGATCCAAATCCTGAGGATCGAAGAACATCCTGAAATATCCTGAAATTGGTTGGAGCTTCAAGACGAAAAGATCTGTTGTTCTGAAAGCTCTTATTCGTTCGCTTTGCTAATTAATCGAATCGGTTACTGCACGTTCGGTTTTATTACCGCCGTTAATCGAAAAGGACGATCGATTATATTGCTTGCGCTTGGCTTTATTACTGTCGTCGCTTTAGAGGGAAGGGATTATCGTATTTTACGTTTACGATTAGTAGTGTCGTATAAAATCGTAGGATTCCGCGAAGGAATCGCGAAGTCTTGTTCTCAATGTGGATCTTTCTCGTGTATTATTAAGTTCTTATTATGACTCTACAGAACAATGTGTGAGGTTGAAATTAAATCGTATCAAATTATCGATCGATCCCCGAGATTATTCGATTGATTAGACATAATTAATTTCAAGTCATGTGATAATGGAAGAAGAGTGAATTTTTGAACACCGTTTCCCGATTAAAATAGACAGAATGGCGATCGATAATGAACCTGAAGCGATTTTATTTTCACCTCACTCGTTCGCTCGCAAACATTCGCACGATGTAGCGCGAAATGCAAATCCGTCGTTGTCCTTGTACTCGAAGTAGGTTCCTCGAAATCTTCACCCCTCCCTCTTCTCACGCTTCTCCCCCCCCCTCCGTTCCTCCCCCATAAATTTATTTAGATTACTTGGTACGATTAATCATTTATTTGGTACAATTAACGCTTCTAACCCGTAAAATTGTCCCGCTACGTCCACGGACCATTACTCAATAAATAATAGGCTATCCTGGCTTGTTTTTGAGGCCATGCGATCGCGAGTGCTCGGTCGTCCTCCCGTCGTCCCCCATCGTGCGATCGTTGTAACGTCGAACGTCATCTTCTCCGCAGATCTCTAGATTCCCCTTCGAATCTTCGCGTATCCTCCGATCCTCGTTGCTGTCCTCTGCTCGTTAGGTCCCTGGATCTTCGGTCTCGCGGATTCTCGGGATCTTCGGACTCTATCTCTATTTCCCCAACCCTTATCTCTCCCTGGTCCACTCTGTAACGAGCGTCCGCGAAGAGAAATTGCGATCCAACGTCAGGACGATCGACCGGTTTCTCGCGCGAGAAACGATCGTAGAACGGCCCCAAAGGAAATTCCTAATAGACGCACCTGTGCATAGATGCGAGACGATGCGACACGATTCCAGGGTTTGCTTACAACAGCCACTTGGCTATCAATATCATGATCAGGTGGGGCGCCAGGCTGGCCAGCGACGCGGCGCCCGTCACTCGCACGTCGCTATCCTTGAGAAACACCCCGTCGATCACGTGGATTATCCCGTTGGTGCACTCGACGTCCGGGCGGACGACACGGATTCTCTTGGAGCCATCCCAGACCACCCAGTAGCCTGGAAAGAAACAGAAAGCCAAAGAGAGATTGACGATTATATTTCTAGACTCGGGGATATAAAGGAGGCTGGGACATAAAGAAGGACGAAAGGATGAGTTGAAACTGAGAAAGCGAGCGCTGCGATGCAAAATGCAAAGCTCTCTCGACCCGACGATCGTCGGGTCTCGAATTAACAACTTGAAGATGGAGATACAAATCTACTATATAGTCTTAAGATATATGTATAATGTCGTGAGATGCTGAAGGAATAAAAAATCGATGGATGAAACATTGAAAAGAGTGAAGAATCTCGACGCTCTCTAACAATACTTGATAAAGCTAAATGTAATAGTAGTATCTAGTGATGAGAGAGATTGGACAATCACACAAACAGCGCTGTAAAAATTGTAAATAAAATTCTCATCATCGCTAAATTGAACGAGGCGAGAGTCACGAATCGAAATTTTGCTGCCATTTTCAATTTCAATTTTCTCACGTTTCGTGGATTCGAAAAAATTTTGACAGGTAATTTAATTTACACAGAAATTTATTGCTACATGTTCAAATAGATAAAGAACAAGTAAATAAACAGTTTTTCATTTAAAAGTTTGAAAAGAGAGCTTTTGATAAAACTATATTACATAGTTTGAAAAAAGGTTTCATATCGCTTGTTAAAGTAGATGTTAGTTGGATTGAAAATTGAAATCGAAGGTAGGAGAAAATTTTCGATTCGAGGTAATACGTTGTGATACCGACGTCACTTTCTTTCCAATTACTCGGCATCTTTTCCTTACGGTTAACGAAGACGTCTACACCGAACTTAATCTTTCGCCCCGTGTGATCCTCGTCAAATCTCCACGCAAGATCGTAAAACGGAGCGGAATTAAAGCGGCTGGTTTCGGGGAAACGCTTCGGAAATTCGTTCATATTATAGGCGAGAGCGGATGACCGGGTTGGGCACGTAGCAATTAGCGCCGAGGATAATCAAGGAATTTGCATTTAAATGGCGGTCGAAAGGTGCATAATAAATCGACGCGACGGTTCCGGCCCATAATGGGGCGCGCGATTCGTTTCCGCAACGTCAAGATCGCCGATGACATATATACATATAATTTATTTTCGGCATATTTTTCAACAGACGATTTTCATTTCTCACCGACGCGACGTTTCTCGTTTCCAACAACGTGGAAAATTCCGCACGGACGCAAATATTCGTCACGCTTCGCGTAGGAACTCTAGTGAAAAGGAGTTCTGTTTACGAGGGTCCACACGAGAATTTCCGGGACGTCGTACGGAAGTGGACGTTGCACTTCGCAGCAGTCCGTCCGGAAACGAAACCCTTTCCGTAGTCTACACGCGTCGCTCTTTACGTGAAAAGTAGCCGAGTGGAGCGGGAACTCGATGCGAGTTAGTTAGTTAGTTCGTTGCTGCCTCAACAATTTCCAAATCAAATCCAAACGAAATGTTGCGTTAAAATTATACTTTTCGGTTCGTTAAAATTGTTGGTACGCCGTTTCGTTTATCTCACGGTTTCATTAATATTAGCGGTGGAATATTTGTAATTCCGTATCGATCGACGTAATACATTACTACACCGCTTATTTCCATATTAATGATAAACAGCTGTTTTTGCACAGCTTAACAGAGCGCAATTAGAGATTAAAATCTGCTTACGATCGAAAAACAATCAAATCGTTTCTCACTGTCAAATAATTGGGTTCTCTCAAAAATGACGGAAAGAGGTAAAGCGTTTCCGGAGGACATCTCTCTCTCTTTTTCTCTTAAGATTTGCGTGTTCTTCGCGAATGAAATCCTTATTCCACGCATCGCGCAAACACGTTTGCGGTTGTCTCTCGGCGCGCAATAAATAGGAATCGCAAAACCCAACGAAAGGGGTGGATCTCCTCATTTTCCCCGCGACAAAGGTAATGATATCCTATTGCCGTTGTTGTAGCAATTAATTTACGCGCAACAATGAGCGTACTCCTCGTCGTAATTAATTCCGCCGTTCACAATGAGTATTGTTGCCCTCGCCGCAATTAATACGCTTTTGTTTCTCGCGTACCGCACGTTTCGTCCCATCTCGCTCTCTTTCACGTCGGCTTCTTTCTCTCTTTCTCCCTCTCTCTCTCTCTCTCTCCATCTCGATTCGGTGACTTTTGACCCCTGAAACCCCCGGAAACGCCAGCTGCGACTATAACGAAAATTGTCGCCTACAGGCGTGAACGCGTCCCGCAGAATCGAGAATCCGCGTTTTAATTGGTCGTGAAAATCAGGACGCGAAAATCTTTCGTTTTCGCGGACGCTTTTCATCATATGTGCGCAGACTCTTATGTTATTCAATAGCGAGTTCGATCGTGAGAATACTGTGGAAGCAGATGCTCTCGAACGTCGTAAAAGTGATAAGAACGAGCTCTCGAATGAGATGAGACTCGTGGTTCGAGGACGTCTGCGCAAAGTGACTGCGATGCAATATAATTGAAATAATAAATCGAAATAATCAAACCAAGCATCGACGGCTCATGGCTTGTCTCAGTGCGAACGAGATCTATACGCAACTCGCACCGTGCAAAGTTCGAATTTTTGGTCGAAGAAAATGGATCTTTGCCCTCTCCACGTCAGATCCTATATTCGTAGATCCTTTTTGTATATATATACATAAGCGTAGCGTACGAGTATAAACTGAAAAATTGTACGTTAGCGTAAGCGCAAAGCGATATGATCACTCGTAAGCTAAATCAGAACCGTTGCAGCATCCAAGGATCTAACGATTTCAGGATCCAGCGAGGTTGGCGGTTTGAGATCCAAGAATCCCGGAGGATCCTCCGATATCTTCGCTCGAGATTTTTTTAGAAGGTAATTTTTGGAAACAGAATTATCTAAATCATCTTTGAACATCAAGGATACAAAAGGATTTCAAAATATGCACAGAAATTCCGCGAGCTCAGATATTAACACATTTCACTCTCCTAAATGGAATCAATGTTTCATCACCGATAAGAAATTCAGCTTATTTCAGTTACAAGTATAAGATTGAAAATCAATTAGTAATGTCTTTCAGGGAAATTATTGTCACAGTTAAACGTAAGAGCGAAATGTCAGTGTTTTCATTAAAGATCAGCTGATCTAAAACACTCGTTGGGTGAAATCTTATCGGTGACCAGTGTTTGCTATTATTTAAATAAAATTATATAGATGATCATCCAGATGAAATTTTTGCATCATCTTATCTTTATATAAATAATAAAAATATATATTATCTACATCTACATATCTTAGATATAAAAAAGTATTATCTTCACTAAATCATCTAGAATAATGTTCACAATCGGATAATTTGGATTAGAGTTATATAGCACATAAAAATACTTAAGTAGCAGAACAAGCAGCAAGTGATAATTTATAAATAAAAATATGAATATATTTTTATATCCGTTTCATAATTTACATTTTCATCTTCATCTTAAAAGCATCCAAGCTGACAACACTGTCGGCGACATTTCAACGATTCGATTGAAGAGAGCAGAGTCCAAGGATCCGCCAGGATTAAAAGCGAACTTCGCCGGAGTGAGTTGTACGCACGCACACAGTTCTCTCGCGCGTATACACGTACATATATGCGTGACAAGACGACGTGTATGTATACGCGAGGTGTGTAACGCGTTGCGTAAGAGAGGGGTGCACTCCTTCACACTTAAGTAAGTGCTTTGCTTCGTACAATGTGAAAGCGCTCGTGTCGTCGGCGACGTTTAAACACACTTAACTCAACTCACCGGATGTTTCTGGACGGATTGCGTTTTCGTCGTACTTCTCATCTACATGTAATCAGACAGCAACCAGGTTTGAGAGTGTCGGTGACAGGCGGTAATGTGACGCGACGACGGTTCCGCGAGAACAATCGCGCGCGTGGCAGAGCCGACAGTCGATCTCGATAGAGCGTTAACGTTTAAGCGGGCGTTTCATCGCCCGGGGAACGCGCCCGTCGACGGGGAAACTTTCCCTAATGTATGCGTACTTGGCGAATTTACACACGTCTAGTTTATGTTCGAACGAGAGATCTCACGCGCGCGTCAGACGACCGACACCTTCAGGTGACGTGAGATAATATATATATATATGGTACATATATATATATATATTTTCTGTGCATAGGTACAAGTGTGCGCTGGTTACGTGTGCACGCTATTTATAAAATGAAATTTACTCACTTTCGCCGACTTCTTTGACGCGAATCTTCAAACTGTCCCTCATCGCCGTGAGCTTGATGGTGTCGTTGCTAATCTCCCTCAACTTCGCCATCGTATACGCCTGGTCCGCGACTACGAGGTGTCGCTCCAGGATCTGCTTCGTCTGTAAATGAGTCATACATTTTTATGATCAGATGTAGCGGGATGTAATTTCTTTTTTAATAACACGCTCTCCGGCTCTCTTTGCGCTCTCATATTCGTGGCTCTTAATTCCATTTATAAATTTAAGAGCTTGAAAAGTGCGAAGGTACGGCGTCATTAAAGAATTTAAAGAACAAGGATAGGGTAACGAGAGTATCTTTTCGATGGGAACGAATACGATGGCCCGAGAGAGATCTACGCGACGCTGCACTTAGCAAGATTACTCACATGATAACTAAACTCGGCCATGAAGAGTTTCTTGATGGTTGACGGGTAGCTGGTCGCCGCGTTGTTCCAGGCCTCATCGTGCGGAGCGAAGTACGTGAATCTCTTCGTCGTGTCGTTCAGCTGAGCGTTGAAGCTGCGTCGCTGACCCAGGACGTATGTCGCGCTGAAAAAAAACAGGACAAAGGGAAAAGGACGATTATTAATTTCACGCTGATAACCCGCGAGGTGAATCGCGAAAATGATTTTAGAGACGGTAAATAACGTCATAATGCCCTTCTCATCCGCGTTGCTTAAATCGGTTTAATTGAATCGTGCGGGTTAAGCGCGCCGGAGAAATTTTTCCGAGACGGAGGATTGCGAGTAGACCGCGGTAACATCGTGATGTTTACTCTATCCGCTTCCCGGGGCTCACCTTCGCGCGTTGCCTCTTACGGGATTAATCCGCTTCTCCACTACCCCGGCGTGCTTGATCTCTCTTTCTCTCTCTCTCTTTATAAAGCCGACCTCGTCTACCTGTGGAGAGAATTGCACCGTCTCTTCCGCGGATATCAATTATAATTTTAAATTAGGAGATAATCCACACAACGCTTTCTTCGCGCGGAAAGCTGCCAACGGTATGACGGAGCACGATTGTTGGCCGGCTATTTGGATCAACGTGCATAAACAATTTTCTCCCGGAGAGAGAAGATCTCCTCGTTGCTGCACAACGGACTTTGTAAACCCCAGCGGATCTCGCAGTGCTCGGGTCATCAGCGCTCCTTAAATCTGTCGGTCGTTAAAGGTCGGGCTTGAGATTCCCTCGTCCGGGAGTATTTAAATCGCAAACTCGCGTGACTCCTGAACGTTTTGGGATCTTTATATCTTTTTAGATACCTAGTAAATTTCACCGTCGATTTAACTCCTTGGACTAATCCGGCGCCGTCTCTCTTTCTAGGAATATTCTGCTCCTTCTCAAATTCTTCCGATGATCCGGTATAGTCGATCCTCTGAATTCTAGGACGCCGGAGTTAAACGGGATGAGGTCTGGGTGCAGCGGAGAGTCGCCGGCGAACCCGATATGTTCCAGGTCGGTAATCTCGCCGAGTGAGTTTATTCGCTTTTTGCGTGGCGCTTCCGAGTGCCGACCGTTAAATTGAACAAGGAGGCAATATCGGCGCAGGGACGAGGGACCAGGTTACGAATTTAATAGATCCGACGTGGGTCTGCCCTGCGGAACTATGCAATTCCGGGCGGTAAGGCTCTCCACGATTATAGTTTTTACGTCGACGATACCGTCGAGCCGATGAGTTCGCGGTAATTGAAATGGGGATTTGTTGCGTTATTTTAATTAAATTCGGACGAGAAAGAAGAGCGCGGCCGAGTCGTGCGCAGGAAAGAAAGGTTTTTCCCGGGTCACGCGCGACGATAAGATTTTCTTTCAGGAATGGATAAGGCGTGGTGTAACAACGGTGGCGATGTCCCGTGAGAAGATCATATCTACGACGCGCACGTGTAAGTAGAACGCGCGCTGTACCTCCTAATTATCGATGACAGAGATAATTAAAGATAGAGATACTCTTCTCGTAAGAGATGATTGGTCCGGTATCGTTATTTCGTGTAAGGTAGAAATTTTAGAAGAAACCGAGGTGTAACACAATTTACATAATTTCTCTTTTTATCGGAATGCACATATATAAAATTAGAGACTTAAGCGTAATGAGAAGAAGAGGGGAGGAAGAGAAGATGATTCATAAATAAAATTAAAATTTAATCCCAAAGAGATCAAAATGCATATGATAGATATGTCTTCCTTTTTTCCTTTAACACAACTAACGCGTTCGGGATCTCATAAAACGAGAGTCGATGATCCGGATCGCTTAGCATAAAGATGAATAAAGATGAAGAAGAGAGAGAGAGAGACTCACTTGAGCATCGGGTCGGTCCTGAGTTTGTCGAGCACGGTGGTGTAGGGAACCCCGAGCAACCTGTCGATTATATGGATAATCCCGTTGGTGGCGGCGATGTTGGCAGTAATGATGGTGGCGTTCACGCCGCCACCCTCGACGGTGACAGTCTGGTTCCCCCTCGGGCCTTCCACCACGTTGAAGTAGAGCTTCTTCTTCTCGGCGGCGGTCTGCACCTGCAAGAATTCGTGCGGAAGCTCTGTGAGGGAATGCGAGTGACGTGGCGACGCGTGACTCGCGTTAACCACCGGGGTCACGTGCGCTGTTTTCAAAGGATTGCGTTACACGTTCCGGCTGCAGCGCGAGTGCAGCCGGAGAGAGACAAGATGGAGGGAGTGCGAGAAGATACGTGTAAAAAATAAACTCTGGAATAAGACTGTCGAAGAGGGACGCACAGAGAGGATGCTATGGGCGCTTCGAAGGCACGTGACTCTCGATACTATACTCGATTCGATTGTCTTATAGGTATGCATACGTGTCGATAAAATATGTGTTCGATATATTGGATTTAGAAATTCGATAACTTGCATATAATTTGCAGGGAAATGCTTGACGCGATTCTCTTGAAATTTGAAAAATATATATGCAAAGAATCGAGCGAGCGTGAGTCTCTCGAGAATCGCCTTCGGAGAACTGGTATAAATAATCGATTTCGTGCACAAACACAGTTGGAGAAAAGACGAGAAATTAAAAGTTATTTGCGTTTCCGTGCTCGAGAATTTTCCGCGTGTATACTGTATACACATACACACATGCACAAGAGTGAAACGAAGAAACTAAGTTTCGATGTTATAAGTTTCACACAAAGTTACGATTGTGCGTGCACGTCATCCCAAGTACACAATACATACATCGAACATACGCTAATAAATACACAAGGAAACATCAATTTTATAAACTACAGTCTGCACAGAATCCGACGTGTCATGCTTCAGGCCGTCACTGACAAATGTATTAAGATAAATTGTGTCTCTGATATTTTAATCATCGTCTCTATTAATAAAATAATTCGGTTTTAGTTATCCCGCGAAACAAAATCAAATCAACGATAACGTACCGATTATTCCGCGACCCCAAGCACCATCAAGATAAAGCCATCAGTTACTATTAAAGCAAATTGTACCCCTAATAGTTGGTCGTGTAATCTCAATAAAATAATTCGGCTTTATCGTGAAGATTATCGAATTATACAGTCATCTTTAAGACCAGCATGAAAAATGACAGAGTGATCAACGATAATGTGTCGGTTATTCCGCGATTAGAGGAAGACGTCAAAGGGAAGCTATCAACGACGACAATCTCCGGAAAAAAATCGCGTAATCGCGAACCTGGGGCGAACGTTCCCAGAACGGGGTGCGCGATCTGCTTTCTTATCGACGGACGTGAAATTTGATCTCGAAAGACAGCCATGTCGGAGGTGCGATAACGGAGTGAAACGAATCCCTTCGATCCGCCGGATTATCCGGACGATGCGGCGTACATAGTCGTTTCTCTCGGCAGTGCGAGCTTTTAACTTGCAAATATCGTCCGGATTGCAAATCGGCGCTTCTCCATCCCTTCCCCATTCCTTTCTCTTTCCTCTCATTCGCCTCCGTCGTCGATGTCGGGACGGAAAGCTCGGTATAGAGAGCGCCAAGAGGCAACGATCCCTTTTCCGGCTGATCCAGTTCTCATGAATTTCCCGGTGCGCACTCAGAGCCACTTCCGGTTACTTTCTTGACGTTTATCCGCGCGAACCCGAGATTCTCTCCGAACCGAGAAACTGGGAAAATGTGTACGCGGTATGTCGCAAAAAGATATCGGGAGTATTTTTGGAGTTATTTGACGTCGATTTTGCTTTAAATTGAAATGTAAAGCCGAGATTTCAAGTGGCATCTTGGACAGCAAAGAAATCAAAGAAAACGTCTTCTGTTATTCTATATTGAGTTCTTATATTTATCGTCTCATTCCTCTTGGAATTAATCAATAGAAAATTTTAATATTCTCACAAAGATAGATCTCTCAATAAAAATATCATCAAAGAAAGAAATATTTCTGTCTTATTCCTTTATTGAAAATTCTGTTGATCTATTTTAATTTTATTAAATATGTAATATATATATATATTAGAATCCATTTTTATCTGTCTAAAATCTCGTCGTTTTATATATTGTATCAATATTATGTCAGACTAATTTAAAGTTTCAAGTTACTTACCACTTTAAAGTGGAACGCTTTTAATTTTATGAAATAAGAAAAAGACTCTCGAACCTTTCACGATCACCCTTTTGATAAGCGCTCATTACTTCCGATATGTCTATGCAATTAATTTCTTATCCGACGCTCGCAGTTATCAATTAGCCACGCGTAAAGTCACCTCGCCGTCGTTTTATTTGCGCGAGGAACGACGTTGAATAAATTAATTACGAATACGGATCGTAACGGAATAAATCACGCTATTGAAACAGAAAAGAAAAGTAAACGTCGCGAGACGAGAGGAAGATTGAAATTGATTTATCTGTCTTTTTGGATTCATTCTGAAATCTCTGCGTAAAATTTGTACATGTACATTTTATTAATAACATAACCAGAAGAGTCGGAAAGTCATCGAGTTAAGTCAAATTTACCGAAGAGACTCTAGCTAAATTGAACTATTTCGTGATATTCGTGTAACTTACATACGAAATTAAATAAGGAATTAAAATTTGGACATTTATAATTCTGAGGACTAAGAGACAGTCAAATATATAAATGACGTGCAGATCTGGAGAGGTCGGACTTAATGATTCTTTAATCAATACTCGGCCATACGAATACGAGAATGATATTTAAAATCTTAAACTAATATTCCAAATGAAATTATGCGCCGAAGCGAAGGATATCCGAGCCCGATACTTGAAATAACCCGCGTATGCCTAAAATACGATGGTTCGAAAGCTGTAGTTTCGCGGAGGGCGATCGCGAATAAAATTGAATTTTACGTCGTGGCGCCTTCTCTTCCGGCAGCGCTTTATCATTTCATCAGCGTGCGCGAGAGAGTCGCTCTTCCGAGACGCGCGCGTGGGGTCATAAAGCATGAAAGCGGTGTAAAACATATCTCGACGATAAATTAGTGCGCGCGGGCGCACCGGTGCGTGCGGTGCTTAATGCAAATCAGACCGGATAAAAAAAGAGGGAAGAAGAGGGAACGACATATAGAAAGGAACGCGCATATGTCTGGCTCATCGTGCCCGCGTGCGTGAGTTGATGTACGGCATATTTTTTTTTTTTTTTTTTTTTTACATGGTGGTTGTTTGCTTATCATATCCTCGGACAGGGGTTATTAATTATTTTCCCTTTCGACCCCGACTCGCGCGCGCAGCTTAATGCAAATTGGTCTTGTTGCGAGGGCGGGAAAAAAGAATCAAACGCGAGTTGAAGAAAAAATGGTCAAATATAAAAATTTGTTTCAAAACAGCAGAAGCGGATGCCGTGAGAGATTAATAAGGTAGCTCGGGGATGGTTTTCGCCGACGTCTGGTAGACCTCGCTTTTGTATCTTGATAACATTGTGTGAAAGCTGGCATCTTCAAAAAAGGCTGACAACTATTGTGGACAGTTTTTATTACGACCATGTGAAATGGACGAAATTGGATACAATGTCGCGGAGAATAGTGGTTCTCTGGAAAATTGTGTGACAATTTTCGCGCTGAAATGCAGAAGAACTCGACTTCATACGCGAAAATTGAATTTAAATGGTTTTGTTTGTTCGCACGCGTATATAATATTTTTATTTGCTTGAGTACTATTAAAAAAATATATGCTGTTATTTCGGCATTAGACAAAATGTCAAACTTTTCCCTATAAATGTTCAAACCTACCTTCATGCAAAGGGAGCAGTTTTTTTTTCATCGAGTAATTTTAGTTTGACATGTATATTTGTTTGTCCGCACGTATATAATATTTTTATTTGGTTGCAAGAGTACTATTAAAAAATAGATATACTGTTATTTTGGCATTAGATAAAATGTCCAACTTTTCCCTACAAATGTTCAAACCTACCTTCATGCAAAGGGAGCAGTTTACTTTCATCAAGTAATTTTAGTTTGAAATGTATATTTACGTTTCAAAATTTCAAACGCTCTTTCATAAATGTAGATATTAAATAAAGCTCTGTTCATTTCGCTAAACATGCAAATGCAAACCTAGCTAAATCGGAATTATCTTCACGCTGGCACGGCAAGAGAGACGATTCCAAATCAGTATTTGTATTTTCTAATTGTTACTTGAACTCGAATCGTTTAATTCGGATGACTGGCGGAAAGCGGATTCGTCGGATAGAATTGACATAATACAACAGAGACACGATGGGTCTGAAATATCCTAATCAACGATCGGTCACGCGGCGGCGGCCATGCGAAAATGTCACGCCGCGCAGAAACTACGTTGTTTCCGATTAAGGGCGATTTACCCTTTGTTTACCGTGATTAATATATACACCACTCTACGTACTCTCTGCGCACGAGACACAAGCGGAGTCAATATTGGTCCACGCAGCACGTTCGTGCAGAGTGCACGCAGTAAATAACAGCCGATATTGCCGATCGAATCGCCAGTAACTACCAGCAATTAGCGAATTCGTATTAGCGCACCTGTTCGCTAGCGCTTTTATGATAATCCATTCGTAAATTAATTGATAACGTCGCAACTCGACCTATCGCGATGGCGCGGTAATCACGTTAAATCGAATCGTCTCTCACTCTTCTCCGAACGAATGCGAATATGATGACGATCGGAAAGAAAAACGTCCACCTAACGCATTTGTATCTTCTCGACCGCCCTGATGATGATGTAGCGTTTCGTGTCGCGATCAATCGAACGATTGTAGGATCACGCCGACTTTACAAACGCTCTCTCGTACGTTCATCTCCGGCCCGAGTGTTTATTTATACTGTTCGAATGTTAATTTATTAAAGAGCGAGCGGAGTAATTAAAGCCAACATCCCATATCGGCGTTGCTGAATGATTGAAGCGGCTCGATGGATATTGAAGTGTAATTAGCTGTATCGGAGATTTCGCGTAATTGCGTTCATCGTGGGCTCTCGACGTTGCGAGGGAGATACCGACGAGTTGTAGCGAACGCTAGATAACGCGATAGATTCGCGCGGAGAGTCTCGTCGCTGTATTATTGGCTGTAATTATTAATTTTACGGAACGCGCGTTATCTCGCACTTTCTCTCTCTCTCTTCAATTGGCTCTCGTCGAACCTCATAAGTCAACGCGTTGATTTCCCCGCAAATCCGACTGGACGTGGAAATTAATGTGCGCGCGTTACCACCCTGAAAACGCTCTTTTCGCGCGATCGTTCACCTCCAATGAGAATTCGACATCCGCAGACTCGATGCGATCGATCCGATGATTGCGCATTTCTGGGGAAAAAATATTTATACGAGTCTTACTTCGATTTAATTGAAACGATCTAATTTTTTTTTCGTTTTTTATCGAGAAAGATCCGTCGCGAAATTTCGAGGCGTTTTTTCTCGCGAATATTTTCTCGAATGCATCGCGAACTTCGTCCCGTTGATTCGCGAACGCGGCTCGTTAATATTCATTGTTATCGTAAGTTCGAGGAATGGAGAAACGAATTAGATTGCCGAGAGAGACCCAGCGATCGATCGAGAAAAACGTTTTCTTTCTGCGAAAAAGGATAGATCTCTTCTCGGCCGGCGAAAAGTTCGTGCAGTTCGAAATCAAATTCCCACGACCACCTGGACGCAAGAGTTTCCGCAAATTTACCCGCGAAAAGCGTGCATACCCGAAAGCCTCGACGTAATACATATTATATATCGGAAATGCAACCGATATTGCAGACAATCGAACCGAAGACATATAGGACGTATCTCGCGTCGGCAAGAAAGCGAAGAAGACTCGCAGGCATCGCCTGGAAAGGAAAACGCGGGACGCATTGCTGATTTACATTTCTTTCGTGTCGCGAGTTTTCCCGCAGGATATTCGACATCTTCCGCGAAATAAAGAGATTTTGTTACTTTATGAGATTCGCGATTATTCTATTTCGCAGTCTTGGCTTTCATTTTTTTTTTTTGAAAAAATATAATCCTAGTAAAAATGAAATAAGTATATATATATATATATATATATAAAAAAATACAAAGATAATTTTACAAGAGAATATTCGTTACAATAAGACACCATTTACGCGAGATTTAATTATTAAATTCAATTAATCTTGATAACAATGTCTTGGATTAATTCGAGGATAATCTTTTGAGGAAAAATTTCGATTATAAAAAATTAAAAGCTGCTTCCAATTGAGTTCGTAGCTGTGCCGTCTCCTCTCTTTCACAGTATTGCGCGAATATTAGCGGCGCGAATTAATATATCCGGATTAATATATCCGATATTACGTTCGTTTGTTTGAAAATTGCAATCGAGAGAACGCGCGGCGGAATTTCCATGCCACGTCGCGTCGGCGCGGTATTTTCCGACCGAGCATTCATGTGACGCGATTTTCCACGGGATTCTCTCCCTACTTTTTGTTTCATCCCTCTTGCTTTTTTCCCGCGCAATCGGCCGGGTATGATTTTTCACCGCGGATTTGCGAGACGTGCGCGTATCAACGGCACCCTATAAATTCGACAGTGCGTATATAGATAACGCACGGGCAAATCTGTGCAAACAATGTTGCAAAGCCAATAAACTTGCTCGAATCCATTTCGAGTGTAGATTTAGAAGGAATTTTGTCGGTTTTGCGCGAGAATTATTCCAACGCCTATATCCGTCAATCTTTTCAGAAATAATAATTGCGTACCGGGGGTGAGCGTATATATCGCGTGTTGTATATTTGACTTGACGAATATTTCGCCATTAAGCGCGGGAATCGCCCTGATACGGAAGGATGTCGCGCTAATAACGGTAAGATTAATATAATAAATCGTCCCGTGAAAAGTGATGCGCGTGAGCGATTACGCCGTCACTCTGTTGATTTTCTCGACGCTTCGCGCGATTACGATATTTGCCGGTTTCTTGTCATAATTGAGTTCTCGCGTGCGTTAACGAGACGCTCTCTCGACTCTCGCGTGGAAAATGACGAGTATGATTGATAGAGAGGATAACGGCGTATTGCACATTGCGATATCTCATCTGTAAAATGTCTCGGCGTGAAGGGAACGACGAAATAAATCGTTCGAAAAATTCATAAACTTGTGAGACAAATAATTAGCGACGAGGTGTGCAAATAAAAATATATAAAAATCTTGAATAAAAAGAGTTTGCGATTTCACGCCTCGAGAGAAGACGCTGTAAAAATATGCGAAGGGCCGTGGCGGAAAATTGCCAGAGTTTTTTGTTATTCCCGACGAAAAGTTCCGTCATGCTGATTGGATGATAATGAGCCTCGAAAAGTGCGAAAACGAACCGGTCGACTTTGAGCAAAGTTTAAGAGCGGAACAGCCCCGGCGTGCAGTTATGACGTCAGGCCGTCCCCTACTTTAACCCATGGAACTTTTTATCTTCCAATCCACTTAATCCGAGGAAGCCGAGTTACCTTATCGCCCGCGCCCAGGTGAGGCTCGCTTTCGTCCTCGTCGGGAAAACTCCTCGGCTTTTCGCAAAAATACGCAATTATCGTTACATCGTGTTGCCGACGAAACGATAGAAATCCATTCCGCGAGGCTGTCGAACCTTCCTGCAATTTCATTCGAATCGTGCAATTCCCGGTATACGGGGTGACGGAAAAGTCAGCCACGTTAGACGTCAGTGCATATATTTATTCGTTTTTTTTTCTTTTTAGATATTTGTCCCGTAGAAAAGAAGATCTCACGAATATATCATTAAAATAAAATAATTCACATATTCTAGGCCGCGAAATTTCGATCCGCGCATTTTTAATACGCGACTTTTCGGTCACCTCGTATATCGTGTATCGCGGCAAGAATAGAAATCTCTTTGGCGTTCGATTACTAAAGCTATTGGCGAGACGAGATTTATTGACGCTATCGATTGCCGAATGCCTAGCGCGGCGTGTTAGTGCTGGAAATGTTAGCTCGCATTCGTTTCGCGCTCGTAATACGCTCAACATCGAAAAACGCATAAAAGCGGACAGTGCAAATGGATGCATAGACAGAGAAAGGGGAGAGTCTGTGAACAATTTACGGAAAAAACACTGAAAGCAGTATGAATCTATAATTACCCCGAGGGTTGACTTCCCGCTCAACGGTATCTTTGCAAAAGAAACGTTGAGTTAATCAATCGAGTTAATAATCCACGTGAGTGAATATGAATATGAATATGCCTTGATCGCATTATAATAATAAGAGACGTAAGAGAAAGATTCTCTTCAAAGGTAAGAAGCGACATATATCAACGTTAAAATTTTGAAATGAAACTCGCAATATCAGATGAATCTTACAACTTGTCATGGTACGCTATCTTATTAGAACCTGTAAATAACAATGGCATGCAGTGACAGGTGAAATTAAAATATTTCGCCAACGATATTTCATTCGAAATGCGAATGTAATTTCGCAACATGAATCTCGATTAATTCGTATCACACAGTTTTTATCATCGCGTATTTAATGCGAGGGAAAAAACGACGAGACTTACTTGGTTGACGCTCTTATTCTTGATGGACTCGAGGGGTAGTTTATCCTTGACGTAGTGCAGCTTGAGGATCTCCTTGATGCGTTTCCTGTCCTGCATAATCTGTTTCACGCCAGGCTCCTCCAGCGCCTCGTTGCTAGGCGCGAAGAGAGTGACGGCACGCAGGTGACTGATGGTGCTCATCATATCCTCCCCGTAGTCGCGGATGGCTTCGTAAAATCTGAACACCGGCCCGTCCTCCTTTTCCTACACGGAGAGAAAAGATTTCTGTAGATCGGTCACGCGGTGCTCGCCGCGCCTCGATTTCGCGAGGTGCTGTGTTTCGAGGACTGGGAAAAAAGACAGAAATTCAAAAAGCGAGAAAAAACGTAAGAGAAACAAAAACGGGGAAATAACGTCCAGATTACTTGTTAAGGATGAAGGGGACGAATCGATGGCGTCCAACCTCGACTCAAAGTCATCAACGTTCCATTACGCGTTAATCGGAAGGAATTTCGCCTTTTCGCGTAACGGAATTTTACATGAAGCCGAATCCAGACGCCATTAACTCTCTACAGAGAAAACACGGAAAGCGACAAAAATAAGAAAAGCTGGAAAGGGAGAAGTCGAAGGGTAAGTTAATACGAGTCAACGCGCGGCGCCAAGTTCCACGAAGTAAGGCTCTCTCTCTCTCGGAATTTCCATTACGTCCTCGTTTTCTATGAATTCCCTTAAATTGATTCTGGTATATATTTGATCGCCAGCTATTTGCGAACTAGCTGTAGGTTGTTTGAAATTCTCGTTGCTTAAAAAACTTACAAGAGTTCGATCGATTCGACGAAATCTGAAAGGAAATTCGTGCGCGTAAAATCTGAAAAAAAGAAAGAAAATTCTTTGTACGGAGACAACAATTGCCGCGTCTGAAAGAACGTTAAGAGATTCCCAGAGGATCGCTTAGGATGAAAAATACTTGAAATTCAGAGAGTCAGCCACGAAAACGGAACAGTCGCAATTAGACTAGCGTAACGAACTTGCAGCTTCGTGTAACTCGCGCCGCGAGGAGCAGACGAAATGAATTACTTATGGGGAGAAGACAAGGTATAAGGGAAAAGAAAGCGTGACTGGGATGTGACCGTTGGTAGTTCACGGAAGTGGCAACATTACGTGACACACATATAATCCACGTCCCTCGTCCCAATTACTCGGAGTGCCAATTGTACTTCTTGTATGGAGGAAAATCATACGACGCGATTAAATTACGGAAACTATCTCGTAGAGACTGAAGAAGGTAAATAATTTTCAATGTAATTCTGTGATCAAGATATAGAGTGGAAGGGAGGAGAAACACAGCGGTGTATAATTTAATCAGAATTCTTGATATTGCAAAAACGCAAAAATAACTAAATTACGCAAATAACTGAATTTACTCAATTTTGACACATATGTCGCGTAATTTTTCGATAATGCCGTATAAGAAACCGAGTGATATAAAAACCGTCAAGCGCGACATATCAACACCGAGCCCACATCAAAGTCAATAAAGATATGCTGAAATAATATATCAGCATCCTATATCAGAAATGTAAAATAACATGTCACATAATATTAGAATATTCTTTTCGCGAAGTTCATTTTTGTTTTTGCACAATGTAATAAAATTGCTTTAACATGTATTCTAAACTTATCTTAAGAACATAAAAATATATCGTAAATGCAACACACACAATTTGACAATTATATTTCCTATTCTAAATTACAATGCGCTCTTTTGACAAGCCTCGACTGGAAACTAACTTTTCCATTATATGGCAAACGAGAGATATTTTAAAAATCTTGTAAATTTAAACATGCGTATAATTTTCGGGGAAAATAGTTAAAAGATAAAAAAAATACCGTCTATTTAAAGATCTCGTTGAGAACAAGCATGAAAAATCCAATGTTTTTCTCATAAAAAAACATATAGTTTACGAGATATCATAGAAAAGAACACATAAAGATCTAAAAAACTTTGAGAGATGGATGAAAACAATACGAAAGAATGAACAGTTTTCCGTTTCCTCGTACAACTCCCAGTCGGATCGAATTATACCACGGGAAAAAACGAAAAGATAATTAACGAGACGTCAGTTAGCCATTCACAACGTAGCTTCGATGTGGCTCTCGGTGTTCATAGACGGGCTTAATGCGAGAGAATGATCAGAAGAGCAGAAAAGAGAAGGACTTTCGACGCAAAATAGAGATGGAATCGTTCGAGAAACCAATAGAATACTCGAAATCCGATTATCCGGGAAATTACTTTTGGATATTTTTGATCTACATATAGAAATGGTGGAAGAGAGGAGTAATCTTGTCGGATTTTTCTGTACCACCTTGTGAGACAGCAGATATAAAATTCTAATTTGACGTAAAAGCACAAAAATGCTTATTGTAATATATTTTGACATTAAGGAAGCAAGAATACAGCAAAAAGAAAATTTAAGATTGCCACGAAAAAATGGTCGCCTTTCTTTGTCTCGACGTGTTTTGTAATAACCGCAAAATTACACGATTCTCGACGCGCTGGTCAGGTAATATCAGTAAAGGAACGGGGAGTTTATATATTTCCGGAATCAACATCGGCCTTCGTGCGAGGAAAAATCCGCGGAAGTCATTTCTCCTCCTTCCCGCCGAATGCCATCGGGCATTTCCCTCGTGGCACAAATCCCTCTCTTTTCCGTCTCTCCTACCTCCACCCATTTATTTCGCTTTCCTCCCCATTCTCCCTTTCGCGTTCTTTTTGCTCCTCTTCCTCGTTAATCTCTCTTTTGCAGGTTCGTGAGGCCGATGGGAAGGCCGAGACGTAACGAAAAGGGGGATCAAGTAGACATCTGAAGGTGTTGCGGGAAAGAAATATTGACACGGGAGTAGAAAAGAAAGATGAAGAAAATACGAGGGAGAAGACGGACAGAGTCGGAAGACAGTGGCGGAAGTCGATCGGCGATCGTTAGCCGAGCTATCTGTCCAAACGAACGAAAAAAAAAAGGACGAAGAGTTTTATAACGATACATCGCTACTGCTAGGGTTTCCTCTATATCGGGATAAATGAATAAAAATATAAGAGGGCGAGAGACGCGCAGCGTCACGAGGCTCGCCCTGCGCGACGGAAGATTAAGAGGGAAGGAAGAGAAGTTCTCTTCCGCAACTTGAAATCGTATCGATCGGCGAAGGTTCGTTCCTCTGTTTTTCTCAACCTCTCGCCCGGCTACGTTCTTTTGTATTCAGAGCATCGAGCCGTGAAGTTGTATACGTGTCGGCAAAGTTTCCGTTTCTGCAGCAGAAATACATCTTGAAACACGAAACTGTCTCGAGAACCACGTAGTCGAGATTTTCGGTGATCCTTTAAGATATCTTGGTGGATCTTTAATTATTCTAAGGATTTTATTTAGTTAATTGAGGTTTCGCGGATCAACAGATTAAGAATAGAGATTCCGAGTCTTTTGGGATTTTATTATCGGGATCTTACATTTCTTATTTACCTATTTCTCTTTTTATGCCTTTGTCCTACCGGTATACTTTCTTCACTTTGATTAGACTAGATGCTCTATCTTGTTCTCTCATTATCGTTTCTTTTCCCTTTTATTTTTCACCCTCCTGCTTTTAACGCGGCAATATTAAATTTATTTTACAGAAACTTATATGACGTACTAGAGCAGAATTCAGCGGAACGAGATTCCTCGATCGTATTTTCATGTAAATGGCCAGACGTCGTCGTGGAGACGATCCTGGATTTTACTACTTGTGTACAAAAATCTAAATATTCAAGGATCAGACGATCCGCGCGAGCATCCCCGAATGTTATAGAATCCAAGGCATCTTCGATCTCGATCGTCTAAAACCACGGATCGGGAGATTCGGCGATCCCAGGATCCGAGGATTCGAGATTTCGAGGATCTTTGCCTTAGTAGAGTCTGAACATCCAGGGATTTTAAACGACCCGCGAGTCCAAAGATCCACAAGGAGTTGTTTCAAGATTCCAAGTAGGAATCCCAGCATCCGTGGATCCATGGATTCGCGGATACACGTGGCTCTCCGGCGACGAGATTGGCGTCTGAAAAGTGTCGTGTGTATTTTTTTTTCGTAGTCTTATGACGAGTTCATTTAATAAGTACTTACGATGCCCTATACGACATGCAGAGTCCAATAGAGACATGCAAAGCACCACAGAATAACATCATTGAATCAATATAAGAATAGTAAACACATGTACACAATTGATCAAGAAAAAAATAGGAATTAAAAGAAAACGAAAAAGAAGGCGATCGCGCTCTCGACTTTAACAATATACAGACAGACAGACAGACAGACAGACAGAGAGAGAGAGAAAGAGATCAGGCGCGAGACTCCTTTTTTATTCCGGAGCTCCGCGTGTCCTCTCTGAAAGAAAAATCGATTCCCCGTCTTTTGCTCGTTTCTCCCGAGGACGTGAAACAGTTCGAGGCGCACGTTCTCCGTCAGCAAGAAAGATTGATCGCGCCATCGCGATTTTTTACCGCTATCACGTCGATATATATCCGATGGCGAATTAATATCGCTTGTAAATTGATCGAGTAAAACCGAGTTATTTTTCTCGTTGACCCGCTACGCAGAGTTAATTAGTCACCGATTACAAGGGTTAATCAGTCATTTGCAACCGCGATTAATTAAGCCGGTCGTACGGTTGAATCGATGGCGACGCGCGATTTTTCGATGGAGGGTCCTCCGGCGTATTGTAAATTACAGACCGAGATTATCAGGAGGTAATTAATAGAGAACCGTGGAAATTTACTGCGCTCAATGCACCGGGACGGGTAATTACGATAAACGTCATTTCGCATGAAAACGACGATATCGCCGACTATGCCGCCGCAAGCCCGCGATACTCATCGTGAATAATGGCAAGACGACGACGACGACGACGACGACGACGATGTCGTTCGCCGAGATTCGCGCCCGCGGAAAATTTCGATGGCGCCCGCTTAATTACGATCTACGAGTCCCCGAGGATTTCTATCAAGAAACGTTCTCTCTCGAATGATTCGCGGTTGCGTTATTCCCCTCGGGTTGGACGCGCGAGAGGAACAAAAGAGCTCGGATTAAAACAAATATTTTCGCAAACCGCGATCCCCCAATCCGGACGAGATATCCGGGAAATCCGCGAGTTCAAATATATACTGGATTGAAAAAAATTCCACACGTGTTCGTGTGTGAGGGAAAGTCTGTATTTTTAATTTTATAAAAGTTAAACTATGCATTAATTATAATCGTGGGCTCGTCCCAAGAGAGACGTGTATATCAGCGGCGGGAGTTATTTTCCCGAGGAATTTTCACACGGCAACGTCTAGACCTTTCTTTAGCAAGAATTTAATTTGAAAAAAAGCGCTTAAATACCGCGAGGCTCTTTAATTTTCATTCTTTTCGAATGGCTCGCAGCAATTAAGGTCTCGATTATGTGTTTGCTGAAGAAACAAATTAACTAGAGATTATTTAATACATTATTTGACATATTGTATTATTCTCCCACGACTGATACGTGTCTTTCCCGGAGCGTCCCGGGAACGACTATATAGATTAGGCGAGATGATGAGATGATTCAGAAAAGAGTGATGAATGGTAACAGCGTTCATGATATCGAATGCACTGATATAGAGATATGTCACGTGAGATCGCGGTTATGCCGTTATGTGAATGTCGCGAGGTCCGTATCATGATCTGTGAGAATCATGGGAGAAACGCGGTGCTTCTCCAGCTTATACATATATACCTTTATACACATGTTGAAGAAAGTTTTGCCCCACTTCACTTATAAATCTTCGGTATCGCATACGACGAAGTAACCGCGCGACGTTGTCTATAAATATAACGACGTGAGATTCTTCGTTTTTTTTTACCCTAAGCTCTATATCTTCGGCTTTCGAGAGCTCTCTTTTCTTCTCCTCTATGATCTTCTTCGCGACAAAGGTCGCTTAAAAATCATTTTCCAAAAATCTTGGACTTGTATCAATCATCTACCGTCACGGATCTGAATGCGTAATCTTTCTCGTTATATTCTTCGCTTCTCGGGATAATAAATCCTTCGTAACGACGTAGGAAGGTGGTGCAAACTTGGTTGACATGTGTATACAAGTCGTGTATATATATCGGTGCTCTCTCGATTATTCGACAGCACATCATGCGACATTCATAGGACTAATCAATTCTAGCAGTGCAACGTGCAGTGCAACGTACTCTGTCGCTAAATACTGATTCGATCCTTTTTTACAAGGAAGATTTCAGCCGCGGCGGCTGGTCCGTAATCAAAAACGTTCCGTCGTAAAGAGAGAGCGCGCGCGTTGCAGTCGTCGTAATCGTAAAATGGTCCTTACATGAGCGTCTATCGCGTAATCGCCGCGCGCCGCATAATACACTTCGGAAATGAAATTTTACAGCGCATCCGTAGCACTAAGTTCCCTCGAGCGAGCAAGAGTGTTGCGCGAAAAGTGCTCTCGGCGAAAAACAACGAGATCATCTTCGTCGCGGAGGAAAGTTTCTGCACTTTGCCGCGACTGAAAGTCGACGCTATTTACAAAGCGTGGCGATACCGAAGAAAAAAAGTGAATGAAAATCTCTTACAGCGAGAAGATGGAACGATTGTATTAAAAAGCGTGGATATTCAGCTTTAATCGTATACACGCCAATAGTTACACAATTATGTACATTAATATACAGGATGTCCGGTAACTAACGGACCAACGATTACAAGTGGATTCTTTGGTCAATTTGGGAACGATTTTTCCTCAGCAAAAATGTCGAAAAAGGTCATCATTTTTTACAACTTTCCAATATTGTCATTATGTATCTTTATAACTAAGCCTCAAATTAAAATTTTATTATAGTAAACTCTACCTGAAATTAACTGAAGAATGTAATTACGTTAGACTTTTAACTCCAAAACGTTTAGTTTTAAAAAAACCCATTTTTTTCAATCGCTTATAACTCGAAAATTATTGACTTCTCAACATTTTTGCTAAGAAAAAATAGTCTCCAAATTGGCCAGAGAATCCATCCTTAATCATTGGTCCGTTAGTTACCGGACACCCTGTATAATCAATGAATTCGCGTGTTATTAATCTTCCTTGCAAATGAGAGAAAACGGTGCATTCTCTATTCATAGGCGGCAGCTAACGTAATTCGTATACGAGCGCTGTTCCCAAGTCATCAATCAGTCGGAACACGGAAGAATGACGAGACGTACATGTCATACGTCTTGTCTCGCTTCCAAACGTTCATCCCCTTTAAACTTCCCTCTAACTAAATTCCCGATAAATCGAAAGGGGCCCATATAAATGATTACCGTACAAATCTCAAATTATGTCGAATGCAAAAAAGGGAAATAAATGAAGGCAACGGAATGTATCCGGCGAAAGAGAGGCCCCGAATTCAATCTTCATCAGGAAAAGCCATTACAACGACGGGGGAACAAAATTCCGCTCGTAAATCCTTTATCGTCGCCGCAAACGCCGAACGGGGAGAGAGCAGATCCTCCCTAAATCCCACTCGATCTCGCGCGTTAGAAATCTAAACTCGATATATCACGGTAGCCTTCCTCCTCCTTCCAACCCCCTGTACATTATTAGACCCACGTTGGGGGTCAGCGCGGCTTGTGGCAGGGTTACATCGATTTACGAGATCCAATCGCACGCGTGCGCGCCCATCGATCGACGGTCTGATAAGAACGTAAGGAGTAAGTTTCGTCGTATAACGCCGAGCGTTGAAAATTTACAGTCGAGAGCGACGTAGAAGAGAAGAGAGACGCGAACGTCCCCTTAAGTTTATAAGAATCTCGTAAAGTTACACCCCCGCGGTATCTTTTACTACTTTCGTCCAAATGATTGCCTTACGATTTGACAGTCGATTATATTTGCGATGAGATGTTCTCTCTCTCTCTTTCTCGAGCACGGATTTCTTCTCGAGATTTTCCATCGCGTCGAAGATACGTCGAAAAATGCGAGATAATTTCTGTTTTCACCAGAACAAACCTGGAATTGTATTCTTCGATTAAGAGTTAAGCAATTCTGCATAGGACTCTTTTATCGTTAAGAGGGACAACGACTGAAGATTAGTTTTTCTCGCGTTCATATAAAATCTGGATGATTAAACGACAAAAGTGTAAAGTCATGTTCCAGGATAATAGCATGAGGTTAATAAAAAGAGATTCAACGACTTACGCGTCATTTAATATTAAAAGTGACTAATGTGTCACGAGTGTTTTTCCTAGGAGAAAAATAGCTTTCGAAGCCCGCGAGTATATTTACATCAGCGTTTTCGTTTTCCGGATTATTAACACGTCATTAGTATCGATGTTTCATTATTCCGAGCGCGACATGCAGCTACGGTAAAAACGAGAACGAGCTCTAGATTGACTATGTGATTGATCGTGAATAAAGTTATTAATGATGCGGCCGATTTCCGAGCGTTTATGTCACCGAAATGCGATACGTTATTCTATTTAAAGCATCTCGATTTAATGGCGCGGTTTACACCACCATTCATATAAATTTCAATTTCGGTCGAATCTCAAAATTAGAATAAAAATAACGCGTAAAATTCATTTTGCAACCAATAAATTAGATATTGATCGAATAAACTCAATTGTCTAAAATAATAATAATAAATCTGACTTTTTCGACTGCGTGATCTTCAGTTGTGTCATCTTTGTGCGAACAAGCAGTATCGAAAATGCGAGTATATTTCGCGAGTTAATGTCCGCGACTTTTAAAAAAGTCCAAGCAGATATCACCGCGATTCCGCTTCCGTCACGAAGATACTACGAAGAACGTTCCGGAACTTCTCGCGAACTTTCTTACATTTGACCGGACGCCTTTCTTCCGAGATAAAGCCACTGTCGACACGCGGCTGCAAGAAGGCACCTCGCTCTTGCATTCCCTCTCTCGATGAGGTACGATTCTCTCGAGGAGAGACCTGAAATTTACGACGCTTGTTGGCGCGCGCCTTGTCTTCGCCATGGAAAACTCGCGAGAAGAAAGAGAGAGAGAGAGAGAGAGAGAGAGCTTTTCGCGGACTTTTTTTCGCAACGGCATATTTCATTTCCCCAAGACTTTCGCTTCTTTCGCGCGGCGCGTCGGAAACCCGAGCTTCCTTTCCTTAGGATTGTAAATGGCGAACGACCGCGTGTTGAGTAATGAATCTGGAAGGATCCTTGTTTCGGGTGGCAGACAATCACTCAACTCCCCGGAACGGAGAAACTCAGAAATCTCGAAATACGAGAATACGAATGCCGAAGCTTTCAAGAAGATCCGAGAATTTGGATTCTGCGAATTCTTTTAGTCTGTGAGCATTTGCACAAAGCAAAGTTTGCGTGAGTCGAAAATCAAGAGTTCCTTTCGCAATGTCCACTTGATATCATTTCTCGACTATATATATGCGCGACAGTGAACTAGGATTCTATCGACAGAAATTGCTGACATGCAAAAATGTCATATATATATCTGTGTATATATCTGTGTACATGTGTATATCTCCGTGCGTGCGTAAATATATGTGTGATCTATGTATGTGTGTGTGTTTATGTGTCCCGACTATGTCTCATTAACATCCGTTATACATATCAGTCTATCAGGCATGCGTTTCTATGAGGAAATTAAAACAGAACTTCTCTCTGTGATGCTCGTAGCGTGCGTGCATTTCGAGTGCGATCGAGTGCAGGGCGCGATTTGCTCCCTTGGATCGTCGGTTAGGAAACGGTTAGAGTGGTGGCTTGGTATATTCCGAAATGATTATCCGCGAGAAGATGACGATCGATAATACACGATATTCGTTAAAAAGAGGCTGCTTTCGGTTAACTTGATACGTATCGAGTAAATACATTTTCTAGGGAAATAAAATATTTACTTTATACAAGATATATATATTACATAAGTTGTGCGCTTTTTTGCTGAATAAATTGAAGACTGAACGTGCAATCGATATCTCGTGATAAAAATTTAATTTCTTCAATATCAGATATAATAAATAATTAATAATATAGATATGAGAAAATCGTGTTAAAACAATTGCAATTAATTAGAGTTTAAAATTTTATTGCTGCATTCTTTATTTTCAATTAAATTGTCGCACATTTCATTAATAATGCCTTAATGTTGCAGCGATGTCATTATTTTTAGATTGGTTTTCGGTATTTCTGGTTTTGGTAAAGCGCACAATTATGGAATATACTGTGTAACAAACTCAAATATAAATGTGTTTTGCCGCAATTACAAGTTGAGATACGCGCATCAAAATTGCTGCCATTCCTCCAGCTCCTCCTCGTTAGCCTTATATTTTATTGTTTTATTGTAAAAATTACGATGACCCGCATTGAACGTTAACCAAAATTATTGGCCCATCAAATTATATATAAAAGCGATTGAGCAATATCTTCGCGTAATTTCAGCTTGGCAAGCTGCAAAGTGGCAAAATTCAATTTTTGGCTAGGCAACAAGATTGGATATTCGTTTCCGTTAAAAACGAACATAAGAAATAAGAAAAACTTACAATAATAAATTATATTTATAAAGACAAATTGTATTTCTAAGAAATTCTTGAACTTTATCGTGGCAAGATACAATAAAGATATTTCTTGCTTTATTATCGACTATTTTTTAAAAATCTTATAATTTTATTGCTTTTTATTCTGAATGAACGAAAGGAAAAACATTTCGAAGAACTCAATAAAAATATATAGAAAATATATAAACATATTGGAATTGGAATTGTGAATATTGTAATTGGAATAATTGGATAATAAATAGAGTTGTGTAAATACTTACTCAAGAACATCAAATTTTCCATTAGCTATTTAATTAATGTTATCTCTATAAATCATTTCAAGAATTTTAATTGTAATAAAATTCTTGTTTTTCTGCAAATATTTCAATATTTTTATCAAGTTTAAATTTTTAAAGAATCCAATAAAAAAATTGAAAGGCTCACAGATATCGATCTACATCTATAATCGACATCTCAATATTACCAAAGATGTGAAAATCTCCGCCAAAGCTGTCAGGCATCCGCCCTGTGAGTAAATTCTCCTATACAAGTGCTTACGCTTCTAAGCGCTCATCAGATGGACGCATAGAAGTCGAGGGTTCAACGACCCGATTTTCAGATAGGATTCGTCAATCGGCGGTGCAAAGCTGCACCACAAAAAAGAGGAGGAAGAAGGAAGGGGTTTGCTTCGATTTGCATCATAAATAGCGGCGGGGGTGGTACAGTCCCGGGGAAAAGGCTTCAAAAATCGCGCTGAGCGGCATAGTGTGTGCAAAAAAAAGAGAAAAAAAGCACGTTTTTCACTGAGCGCGTCAAGCGTGAGGAGGACGAGGATAAGCGGGTTGGGGAGAAGAGAGATAGGAGAGCTTGTGGAAGAGTGCTGAAAAAGAGAGGCAATAGGACGCATAAAAAACACCAAGTACAAAATGCAAAGTCAGCGGCCGCTCTACGCTCGCGAATGCGCACGAGTGCGTGCGCGCGCGTATATATATATGCGTACTGCTCTTCATTATTTTTTCATTTTTTTTTTGTTTCTTCCTTTCGTCGCTCCTTGCAGCATGCGCGCGCGCACGCTACTCTCGCTCTTTGCTCGCTCGTGCTGCTTCTCTACCGTGTGTGCATGGACGGATGCGGAAAAGGCGCACGTTAAGCTCTCACGGTGGTTCATAGTTTGCATAGCTCGGCGACGTCGTGTAATGCGCGCCGGTGTCCGCATTTATGGGCGACGTTGCTCGCAAACCCGGGATCGATGGAACGTGAAGGTGCGCTCTTCCTCTTTAGGATGTGCGCGCGCGCGCGCACAGACGGCAAAAAATTTGACCGGCTTCATCTTCCACCGGGAAGATGAGTAAGGGCTTTCGTACGGAACGATCCGAGATAACAGCAGCCAAGGATCCGAGAGAGGAAGAGCAACGTTCTCCGCTTTTCGAGGCGATTCTACCTATTTCGTTACATCGATCCCGGAAATGTCTTCGCCAATAAGATTGCACATCGGCACGCAGTGAAAGGTAACGACGATGAGCGAGGAGATATGGCGGCGCACGAGAAGAGGCACATGAAGAAACAAAACTATTAAAAAGACTGTGAATGTGCTTATGAAGAAAGATAGAGAAATGTTGAAAGAAACAAACAACACAAAAAGTGATAGAAAAAGAGCCAAAAATAAGAATTCGAAATGTTTGTGTGAATGATGTATGTATGATGTATATATGTATATATGTCACCATAAAAAGATAATTTTTAATTTATTGTTTACAATGCAGAACTCGAAACATTTATTTTTTTCTTTCTATCGTTATATTTTTATCAAAAATATCATGGCATTTTTTCCGAGTCAACTGTTGACCAAAGAGAACTTTCAAAATTAAATATAAAAAATGTAGATAAAGTCTATAATAATAGACCAAATCTGTCGTCTAATTATTATTATGATGACATAGTGAAGTAACGATGATCTGAATGATGTATCAGAATGTAGTAGAGAGATAGAGATTAAGGCGAAAGTAGAGAAAAAGCTGGTGGCGAATTACCTTGAAGGACTGCACAGAGAAACCGGAAACCAGGGTCGATCCATAACATAAGAAGCGAACAGAAAACAGAGAAAGGTAAACTTGTCATTAGGTCGTTCGCTGTAAGAGACACGGTAAGCGTTTCGCATGTAATTCCCTGCCAAGAGGGTGGGCTGGGTGGTGAGTTGACAGGGGTGGATAGAGTCTTATCTGTGTCTTTCTGTAGATCGATGGATCCAACGTGTGCTATCGAGTGCTGGAAGAACTTTTGCTACAGGATGACACAAACGTCGCAAAAATCAACTCGAAGAAAAGTAACGAGCTGTAACGAATTGTTGAATAAAATGTTGCAATTAAATAACTAATGTTCTAGATGTAAAATTTTCTGACTTTTAATGATCATCCTGTAAATTAGGGCATGGAAGTTCTATATACAAAAGTATTTGGTTTTATAACCGAGAGAAACTTTCGCGGAGCAAAGTGCGTTTAATCTTTCGACGCTGCTAAAAAAAGAAAAAAAGAGGTACTAAATTTTACATGTATATGTATAGCACACAGATTAGAAACTTACTCAAAGTTATACTTCAACTATCGTAATACAATTATAAAGTATTTACGAATCGAGTGCAACGTCCGTTCTCGATTTGAACAATCGAATTTTATTATTAACGTTCTGGCAATATAACTTATTATTGAACGCCGTAGCCAATTAACTCCCGACGCACGTCGTTGTTTGCATGCAAATATTTATTGCACAATTTCCCTCGGTTATACTCAGCCGCAAGTATTGGCGTAATTTCGAGTAGACGTGCCGAAATCGTCAGACGTTATCGTATTGTCCGATGATGATTATATATCATAGTCGAATACGATAAACACGCGATAAACTCATCGCTAATTAGCGATTGTCCGGGCTTAATTACGTCAATACGATATGTTGTCGCATATTTTCACAGGCTTTGCGATTTGATTTCTGGCTCGATAAAAGCGCGCAATGCAGAAAATGTGCTCGTAATCCCAAGGATTATTGTCCTTCAGAGGATACTGATAGATATTTAGATAGATTTATTTATTTAATTAATTAATTCACGCAATTTAATTATCTATATATCGCGCATAATGTACATATGCGTGAAATTAATTAAATTAATGTGTGAATTAATTAATTAAATAAATACATCTATCAATATCATCTGAGGAATATAATCCTTGAGATTATCTAAATCGTAGATATAGGTATTTTATATACAATACTATATATAAGTCTATCTAATCGCGATTCTAGCTCGAGTATCACATAGTGACAGACGTAATCGCGTAGCCGGTGAAATGTGAGATATGAGTATAAGGTGCAGTATTGATGGTAATATACTGTAAAAATGCGATCTCCGTGGATGAGTACCCATCGTAAGGCATATCTTCAGATGTTTTACGATCCCCCATAAAATCGTACCTCATATACGCAATTTGTACAGTCTGTTGCAGTGTTAATATAAAAATATAGACGAATTTTATATGCATATTTATCGACTGCAAGAACGTGATCTTGGTTTTCGATTGGAGTTAAGCGCATACATGATTGCTCCGAAACTCCTCGATTAAAATTCTTTTTCCTTTAATAAACTCCACATCCACAACCATCACGCTTAATGAATTTATTTTCGTTGATATGTAAAACGCATTCGGGGAAAACGAGTCGGAGTCAGCTGACGTCGACGCGCGTGAAATTGCACGTCGATTTCTAATTTCTGGCGAAGACAGAATTCACGCCGACCGTCAACGTATGCGCGCAAAATTCCGCTCGAGTGTGCGCGCGGCTGTCTATTTTCGTCGCGGTGAACCGATAATTAATTACGACACGAGGACCGGGAAAACGCGAAAATGTCAACCGGGGCCGCGCCTCGATTGTCACAGCCGCGCGTAGACGCGTTCTCGGCGGCGCGCATCTCGTGTGTCAGATGCACCGTACACTGCATATAATATGCACACACGGGACGTTCCGATTTAACTTTTCAGGGGAATTACGCGCGAAACGCGCCACACAGCGAGACGGTGTTATTCCGTTTGAAATGCTACTCAGCTCCCCGGATGCATCCCCGATCCCTGCACACGTGGTTTCAAATCCATAGCTCTAATAATGCGGCCCGGAGTAAGATTTTCGAGTGCACGCTCTCCGATATTAAAACGTTCGAAATATCTGACGGTTCGCGAAATATACGAATCGAGAGAGAGATTTATTGTTTATTATTTTAATTAAATTATTTCTTCTTGATAAATCATTTTTTAAATATATTTTAATATGCAAATTTTGATACCTGCAATAATTGAGGATTTTTTAGCGGAGTAACTTTGCCGGATAAAATTCTCGCCTCGTCAAGTTTTTCATCTTGCATCATTTGCATATTTGGGACGCCTATTTTCTATGCCAACCAGCGGCCAATTAGCGCGTACATTACGCAAACATCGATTTTACCCTGCTCGTATCGATCGTTCGACATCGTTTGGCTTTTAATCCTCTCGTCGTGAAATGGCGTGGAACACACATAGGTACGATACATTCAGTAGATGTAATTCGATTTCATGCGCGGTCGGATTAAACAATAATACGCTAAAGGATCGCCCTCTCTGTATCGGCGCGTGTTGTGTCGAACGCACGACAACTTTTATGTTATATATTTTAACCGATCTCTCGTCGACGACGGTCACGTCAAAAGTAAAATCGATGGTCCTTGTTGATCGCGTCAAAATACCATTCTGAATTTTCCGACAAATATTTTGCCATTTTTTCGAAAAAAAAAAAATGTAAAACATTTTGACGCCAAATCAATATTTTCTTTGTTCACGCGTTGTAACATGATTTTTGTTCACTTTGTGTCAAGAGATTTTTTTTGTTGCTTTTTTACGATATATATTTAGTTATCTAAAAGTTTGCATAGCACGATAAAATTTCTATCGTATCAGTTATTTGATTATGCATTATATTTGCAAGCATTAGTTGTTATTAACGTGTGGAATGCAATCAAATTCCGGCAATCTTCGTTGTCGAGTGAGCAGGTATGACGAATGAACGAGTAATAGTTATTGCACAAAAAAAAAATACGCGGTACTTAATCGTGCGCGATTGGCATGTGCGTTTTAAACTTCGATCTAGTCGAATCAAATAATAACTGTGCGGCTCCGGAATCGTTTATGTTCACACCTGGCTGTCATCAAACCCAATCAATTTTCCATTACTTTCTCTTTCATCAATAACGCTTTGTGGTCCATTTCGGCTCCAGTCGCGAAAATTGCCCCATCACGCGCCGAGATGTATCGTCCGAATTTTTTAACATTTCCGCGATCAGAATGTGTGTCGCACCGCATTTTAGAAATGCATTAACTTCTTTCCATCGTATTTTAACAGGATATATGATTCATGATGTTTTAATTTTGTTTTAATGTTTATTCGCGAAAAAAAGGTATTATAGCTACTATATATCTGCGGTTTTGCCACAAAAAATTACCTTCATTTCACGAAGATGTATAAAAAACGATTCTGCGACATAAAAATGAAATGACGCGTACATTCGCGTGCGTTTTATGATCTCGAATATATTATATATGTTGCGGATAATTAATTTGAATTGTATTGGCAGAATTCGTTGCTTTCATATTTTCGTTTTATTTCTACTCGCAAGAGGAAAAAAATAAGTAAGTACTCGCAATCTTTCGCCACGGAAAATTATGTACGCTTCGCGGAGATTAGGAAAACAATTCCGTCATTTCCCGGAAGAATCGTTTGCCGAGCGGAATAATTTTCGCGACGTTATCGCGCGTGCGTTATTCGATCCCGGATGGAGGATACGAAATTGCACGGGGGATTACACTAAGGCGAGTACACGTTCGTTCAGCGAATTTTCCGCACGATCGTGCTGAGGCTGCGACTCTACCCTGGCGAATTTCGTACGCGACAAGTGACTCGGAGCTGCCGTGCGTTTTCCCGACTATGTTATGTACATCCTCCGTATCTTCCTCCGCATGTCGAATCGTTATTATTCACGGTCCAGACGTCGCGTCGGAACCGTTTTCTTGGCGAATTTTGCGGACCGAGAGACCCGACAGCTGTGCGACCCACTTTCGGCAGCGGTCGCTGACAGCTCGGCGAGTTGGCAGGTCGGTGAAAAGAGAAGGGGTTGGGGGTGCGTCGCCAGAATGGAACACTTAACGGAATGTAATGCCGCAGGCATTACAAATCGATAACGCCACCGCTTATAGTCCCGATATAGACTTCGATTGCCTCAACGGAATATTACGCGGATGCAATTTGCATAGGCAATTATATTTCTGGGGTAACAATAATGATTCTATTTCGATGGTCGTCGAGAAGCGAGAGAGAGATTCGGAAACTTTGTGAATTTGTGGGGAACGCGACGAGACTCTCTGATATGTACCTACATTTCTCGAATTCTCATCGTTTTTTAACATTCTTCGAGATGACGATTTTTCAACCCTTAAAAGTTCGCGACTTTACAATATTACTGATCCCTCTCGTGACATTTGCGAATCGTTACATCGGCTTTAACGCAATTATATTTCCGCGGTAACGTTTTACGCGGGAAAGAGGATAACCACTTTCGCTTTTACAAAACTTTTTTTGCCGTGCCAACTCCGCGCGAATTCGATGTAATTGTGTCCTTAAATCTGATTCTCTCTCGTCAGCGTTCGAGCTATATACGATAATCCGTCGCGTAGCTTTTGCTCGACGTTTACGCTCGTTCGCTACAAACTAAACTGATCTCATGCACTAACCGTGCGCGCAACCATGGGAGCGCAATAATTCAATGAGCAAGTACGGTACCTGAGCCCTGCCGTGAGCGAGCAAGTAGGCCGTTTTGAAGTGAATCGCTGTACCGGAAGCCCATACTGAAACCGCCCGCACACGCTTCGCCGCGATGGTGAAATCTTTAACCGCCGAATTAACGCTGCGAGGGACGTGCGATCGCACGTGGAAATTTCCACAACTTATGCTGAGGAGGCGAACTGAGGAAGCG